ATTTTAGCAGGAAAAGGATCCTGAAACCACGTTGACACATTAAGGGAGTTGCTAACCTTTGTGAAGTGGGCCTTGACGCTCCCCAGATCTAGGAGAAGCAGGTTATAAAGTTTTAAACCCTAGTGCAAAAAACCAAACCAAAACAAACAAAAACTGAGGGAAGGATTTCCTAAGAACACACAAACTGTAAGGAAGAATTACAATATACTTATAACTAACTTAGTAATAATGACCTATTTTAAAACTAGAGGGCTGGTTTTAATTTGGTTAGCTGTTTGGAGAGGTGACACCAGTAATGGGTTATAGATTTGCCTCCCGGGCTTGGGGCAGCTCGGAGAGGCTGAGGCTCTGGGTGAGGCCTTGATCCCGGGGCACACAGATGAAGCCTCTCCAGCTTCCTGCCTCCTCTGCTGCTGGGTCCATGCCCCCTCCCTGATTCTGAGTACATCTCACCTTCTCTCAGCTTATTATCAGTGTCCTCAGATGTGTGTCTTTCTGTGGGTCTTTCCCCCTCTCTGTCTCTATTTCTACCTCTTGTTTTTCTCCTGTCTTTCTACCTCTCTCGATCCCTGGTTTTGACCAAAACAGCTCTTAACTGATCACAAAAGACCTGAATAATGTACCTTTATGTATGTTTTATTTATTAAATACAATTTTGTGTTCTCTGCCTTGTACAGAAGCAGGTGAGTGGAATGCTTCCTGTTCATCTGGAAAACAAATATATTGTGGGTTTTCAAATATACGACCCTTGATTGATTCCCACCATGGCTTCTCCCCAAAACCCAGAAATTGGGGGCCGGTAATAGAATAAAAGTCCCAGCCCAGAGCTCCTAGTCTAATGCAAGAGAGGACCCGTGGTTGTTGTCGGCTCTGTGGGTAAGGGCAGGAAGCATGATGGCGGAGAGCATGCAAAGGTGGGGGGGTGCGGTCTGCATGTATGGAATGGAGATCCCCGTTAGTAAACGCCCATTCACGTGCCACTCTCCCTGACGGTCTCTGCACTTTCCGGCCCTTGCCTCGACCCTCCCTGAGTGAGCTGCTCCCTCAGCACCTGAGCTCACCTGGTGTTGGGCCCCTCCACACATTTGCTCTTGCAGCTCCTTTTGTCTGGCACGCCTTGGCCACCCCAGACTCTGTTCACCTGGTCACCACCTGCTCATCCACTGAAGTTGTACCTGATCCATGGAACCAGCTAGAACAGGCTCCTCCTTCATGCCCCACAGTGACCAGAGGTGGGGTCTCAATCATCCTGGTTCCCTGGTGCCCAGCACACATTAGGTATTCAATCAACATATGTTAGTAAGAGGAAGAGGGGTCCCATACCGCAAGTATATAACCTTTTGTCTCCCACTTTAGTAGAAGGATATCCAAGCGGTCAAACCTGGCCCTAGCTCTGAGGCCCCCTCCCACATCTGCTCTCCTGCCTGTAGGGCTGCCCCATGTGCCCTGCACACCCACAAACCACCCATCCTCCAAGGTTCCCACCCCAGTGAAGCCTTCTGATTCCCCATGCCTGGTAGGAAGAAACCTGTCCCTCATATGAGCAACCAGCTACCTGGTCTGTTGTTACCTACTTGGACTTTCCTTCTGGCTGTTTCCACTCCCCAGTGTTAGCCACACACAAGACGGTTGCCCCCATAACCCACACAGTGAGCCAGCCCCTAGAGGGTGGAAACTTCACAGTGATCAGAGGAAACCCGCAGTCCCGCAGGTTGACGGGGAAGGGGGTGGAGAATGAGGGCCCGGCCTCCCAGCGTGGCGACGCAGTGCTGGGCGCAGGCAGTCACTCATCCCCAGCAACATGGGATCAAAACGTTACACTACCTTGTTGGCCAGTGGGTCTCTCGGTCCATCTTCGCCTTTCCCAACACTTAGCTCTGACTGCTTGCAATTAGTATCTGAGAGGCAATCTAAAAGAGTCAAGCTGCATTATGGAGAACCCCAGAAAAACTGTAGGGTACAGCTCATCTCGTGGAGAGTGGCTCAAATGGCAAAGGTTGATTCCTTCACCTACTCAGCTGGGCCTTACCAAGGAAATAAGATCAAGAAAGTGGTGTTCGTCTTTAGCATTTATTTATAATTGGAAAAAAAAACTGTTTGTTTGTTTGTTTGTTTGTTTCTGAGCAAGCACAGACCACAAGCACGTCACAATCAATTGGCTATACATGAATATTTGTCGTCATTTTCTTACTAACAGCAGGAATGAATTAGCACCAAGAGAGGTGTGCGCTACACATTACATAGACAATCTGTGGTATGCAACAAAATCCAGGCCACAAAATCGTAATTAGACACTTCCTGTCTGCCTTGGAGAGGCAAAGGTAGAACGGACCAGTTGGAAGCACCAGCAGATAACGAAACACTTGGGGGAGCCAACACACAGCCTTAGGGATTATTTTTGCAGGCAAGCAAAGCAGACAATAGGAAAGCTTCAGGCCTCGCTCTCTTGCCAGGGGAGCTCAGGAATCCGTAGGGAGATTATGGAAAGGGACAGACAGGCATTGGAAGCTTGGTCATCTTCAGAAAGGCAAAACCAAAACACTGTTTTGTGAAACCAGAATCAGTTTTGATCAGTATGTTTGGGATACAGAATGAGACTGGCTGGGTTTTATTTGTAAACAGTAGAAATCAAAGAAGTTTCTTGCCATGAAGTGACACATTCAAGAGTCAAAGTGGACTACAAATCAGAGTTTTCTCAGTTGCAGGAGTTAAAAAGACAGGGAGCCTGAAGGGTTGGAAAGACATTAGGTCACATCTGAAGCTGCAAGGGGACCGGGGTTGGAAATTCAGTGCCTGGGGCTGCAAGGAGGTGGGAAGCTACAATTTGGGCAAACAGACTTGACTCAGACACAGAGATCAAGCCGTATGTATTCTTCTGGTTGTGCTGCTGTGGGGACAGATTTATGTATAGTACCCAGCATGTCTAGCATGGTGTCTGGCACACAGGCAATCAGTACTCAAAGGCGGAACCACTATTCCTCTGGGCATCGGAAGGTTTGATTTACTTGATCTGCAAAGCATATACGACTGTTCTATGGAGAAATCCAGATTGTGGCTAATGTGAACATGCCTGACTAATGCCACACTTTGAGGGAATGAACATACATTGGCAAATTATCTGGGTAAAGTTAAGATCATGTTGACAGAGCTCTCTGGTTAATGTTAAGGTTAGCTAGCAAATAGCTAGGATCAGTACTCAGATCTGCTCTGGTCATTTCCAGACAGGCATCAAAATTCATGATGCACAAACACTGAAACTCTCTAATATTTTCCAACTGCTGTGAAGCTTCATCTCAGTTCCACACCCTGAGATAGAAAGGAAGATGACAGTGGGCCTGGCTGAGCACCTCATTTCCAGGAGTCTTGTTCTCTTAACAGATGTGGCCCACAAAGCACACACTCAATGAATCTGCAAATTCATTCTCAATCAGCCCCAAGGTGACCAACAGAATGGTGTAAACAGAGACTTTGCTGCTTGAATGGTCAGAACAGGAGAGGCCTGGTGGAGGCCCTGCGTCCTCCACTCCAGGACTGAGAGGGATTGCTGCGGTGAGGAGCTCTGGGACCCCGCTCACCACCAATGTCCTTCCACAGCAGAGGCGTGGCACCGGACGACAGCCCAGCCACGTCACGGTGTTGGCAACGGTAAGGACTTAAAGCACAGGAGTAACAAAGCATACCGAGCAATGGACATGTCACAAGGTTTGCAAATGCAATTTTTCTGGTAGGTTATTTGGGTTCCCTTGTGAGCACTAGGGGTCTTTTTACAACTCTCTGACTAATGCCTACAACACAACGCTAGCACAACTAAGGTGCCACTTGCCACCCCAGGGGGCGCTGGCCACACAGACACGCGAAACACGAAACACGATACAGCGAGAGCTGCTTCATATTCATCAGTGAGGTCAAAAATTCTTGCTAATCACTTAGTAGGGAACTCTCCTAATCTTTAGCTAAGCCACAGACTCCTCCACTAACCTGAAGCCCAGAATCCTCTGTCCTCTCCAAGGAACAGAGCAAACACAGCTCAGGGAGGGAGAGTGAACATCGCCACACTTGTTACTACGTCTACTTCCCACCTTGTGTTTCTCAGAAGCAAGGAAGCCACATTCTAAATACACTACCCCTACCCCCTGAACTTTCTCTGCCTCAGTCATTTGTAACCAGTTGCTCTGCAAAATTGGTAGCACTGGATGGGCTGAGGGTAAACAGAGAACAATCTCCTCGTTGTTTTCATCTTCCCATTATATCTAAAACGTACTTCAAACACCTAACCTTCTCACCCTGGCCTGCCTTTAGTCACCAGGGGCATATCTAGGACTTAGAGTACAACGTAAAGCCCACTGATAGGAAACGCAGTCCCACGTTTCTAACAGAAAAGCCTAGAAAAAAAAATCACTTAAACTTAACAGACACAATTCACTTTATGGACATTAAGGCCAAGGTTTTTTGCTTTCTTGATATTTCCACAAATGTTCTCAATCACCGAAGCCCCGAAAGCGAGCTTCTCTAGCTTGTGATAACCCTTTGAATTTTGGAAAAGAACGCATTTACGTAAGGTTCAAAATGGATCACTGACACAGACCTGGGGTGGGGGGAGAAGAGGAGGGCACCCTACGGGCATGCCCAGGTGCCACTGGGACTCTTCCGGCCGTGAGGAAGCGCCTCTGCACTAAGGCCCACCTGCCTCCCTCACCAGCCAGCGAGCAGTCCCACCTGCTGTGGGAGGCACAACCAGTGAACAACGCTTCCCGGGGTTCCTGGTGTTCCGGGGGGCCCCCGCGGCGTGGACGCCCGTGCCGCACTTAGCCCGGCCAGTCCAGATTTGGTGGACGAGGCATGCGCTCCGTCTATGAAACCAAACCCAAGAGCTCCTGGAACACTCAGGACCAAGGCAGAGGAGAAGCCTCTAAGCAATTTTGTGGCCTTTTTGTTGGTTGGTTGGTTGGTTTAAAAAAAAGGGGGGGGGGAGAATAAAAGGAAAGTGCAGTGAAATTTACTCTTTAGCCTCAGCCAGTTTATTGTTCATCTCTTTACTTTGCTCCTTGTCGTCGGGTTGGGTGGCGCTGGGGCCCTCTGCGCTCTTTTTCTTGGAGGCCCGGCCCGACACCACCTGCTTGTCTTTGGCCTTCCTCGGGGGCTTATGGCTCGCTGAGGTCTTTTTTGGTTTGGAACTCTGAACGCTAGGTTTTTCCACCTGCTCGGAGAGAGGGACAGACAGACCGCAAGTACGGAAACACAAAAAGAGGGAGGGAATGGGAGAGAGAAGTTAGAGAGAAGACATGATTAGCTAAATGGGAACTGTAACGATGCCACTTGACACTGAGGGAGCGCTGCGTAGAAAGTACGTTCAGGGACACGGGTCATCTGGCCGCTCCCGCCTGGACCGGCTGCTGAGTTATTTTGGCCACACGCTCCCCGGCCACGTTGGCTTCCCGGCCTGGGGCTGTCACCACTGTGGCGGATGAGGTTACTCTTTTGCTCTAGCTGCTGCCCCTCCCTGTGGGAAGAGTATACCGCATCAGTCTGTTCCACTCGGGCAGGCCTAGGATTTGCTTTAGTCAATGAAATGTGAGCAGAAGGGATAGGGGTCACCTCCAGTGGAAACTGTTCTGCTCTCCTCAGCCATGAGAGGCCCAGACCGCAGAGGCGGTGAGGCGTGGGGCTGTGGCCACCCATGACGGACAGGTATTAATAAGAAATAAACCTGTGTGGATAGAAGATGCTAAGATTTGAAGGGGGAAGCCGTCACCACCATATAAGCTGGTCTTTCCTCCTTTTCTGTCTCCCGGAAGGTGAGCTCGTGTGGAGAAATGGGCCAGGCCGACTCATCTCAGCGAGGCCTTCCGCACTGCCCGCCACTCCCAGGAGATGGCCTGGCCCTCTCTTTCCCGAGAACTCTGGGGCCACCGGGTATGGTTCCCTCCATATACCCTCTATCTCTGGGTTCACTTTCTCCAAACTTCCCTCCTTCCTCCCCTTTGGTCTTCATTTGTGTGAAGACTATGTCCTGGGCCCCATCTTATTTGTGGAGGATGGACAGAGATGATGTTGGCCCTCACAGGCTAGGCACTCACTCAGTGATCCAGGGCTTTTCGGTCACCTCTGACCTGTACATAACATGACCAGTCATCCTGGTTTGCCCCGGGGACCAAGGGCTTCCATGGAACAGAGCTACAAGTGGAAGAGTCCTGGCAAATTGGGTTGGTGACCTATTTTACCTGTGAATCAGTCCTGGGACAAATAGCAAACTACTCCAGTGCAAGACTTTCCGACAAGAGCAGAGGAAAGGATCTCACACTTCCCCTGCTCTTATAGATAAAAAGTAGCTATTTGCACAATTCCATGTGCCTGGGCTTCACAGAAGCAGCTGTGGCATTTATGATTCCTGCTTCCAGCTGAGTCTCCAACTGGGTTCTCCCCCTCAGGAGTGTGGACTGGGATGCGAATAAGGCAAAGTAGTGTTATTATGTGGAAATCCCTGAATCCCTTGGAAGTTACTTAGAAATGTAAATCACTTACAAACTGTTTATTATCGTAACAAATTACCCGGAAGGCATCTTGCAGCTGATGCAACAGGTGTGCTGCTACAGACTGGGAACCTATGGTGCACAGTATTTATGGAGGAAAAGGAGAAAAGGGAGCAAGGATGCATCCATGGATTGGAGCTGAGAATGTGGCAGGGGCAGGGTGGGAAGGAAGCCAGCGAGATGCCTCCAGGGCCAGCCCTACAGGGGCAAAAGCAATTACTTTAAGAAGAGGAACTGAGAGCTCAGGTGAGGTTCTCTGCCACCTGTTGGGGCGGGGCGGGGGTGGGTGTGTTCTCAAAACCAGAAGCTAGTTCTCTGAACACCTGCCAGTCTTGGAGCTGTTTTATTTTAGGCACTGTTCCTTTTTAACATTCCCTGTGAATTTAGCAAAGGTTCCTGCTAAGAAGCCCCTCGGTCCTCTTGTGCTTCCAAGAAGAGGAGGGATTTTCTGGGGAGCCCTGGGGGGCTGGCCAGGCAGGCCAGACAGACCCCTGAGTGGCCCTCACACTTTGCTGCAGTTAACCCCTTGGTTCTAGGTTGGGCTGAAAGGTTCTTCACAAGATCTGTCTCACCTTTGGGGGTTCCTTGAAAGGTTCGCTGTAGAGGCTGCGTATTCTTCTGCGATCGATGACCTTATTGTCGGCTGGTGTCGGCTTATTGGCTTCCCCTTTGAACTGGGCACTGTAGCTGGTCTCATGAGCCATCTTATCATCTGGGGGCTTGTACTGGGGCCTGGCTTTTATCGGTTTCACAGGCTTGATGTCCGTCCATGCTCTGAATTCATTCCTGTGAATCAAAGAAAGCATAAGTGACGTGAAACATTACATGCAAGGACGCAGTGCTCCTGGTCCAGGGCTGCAAAGAGAACAAGCTCTCAGTTAGTGTTTGTGGTGCTGACGCAAGGGTGGCCAAACTGTGAACTTCATGTCTCCTCACCAGGAAGCGCATGGTTTCCCTCCTGCCAGGTGGATGCAGGTTGTGGCAATAGCCCTTGTAGGGAGGAGGAGCTCAGGCTGCCAACTACCACCGTGTGATCATGGGTAGGCAATTCTAATCTTTGGGCCTCGTTTTTGTGATATCTAAAATGAGGCTGAAAACACTCAGTCCATTCCGTCATGCATGAGTTCAACCTCTGTGATTGAATGCCTGCTGGGTGTGGGGTGGCGAGTGTGAAAATGAGATGTGTTAGACTGTGTGCCTGGTCTGCCGTGGCCAACCATAAATGCCAGTCCCTTTCCCTGCCTTGTTATGATGGAGACCCTTTGTTAGCCAGAATCCTTAAGGATAATTCCTCCTCTTGATAGCAGATGGCTTACTTCTTACACTGCCAGAGATTTAACAATCTTAATCACTGTCAGTGAAAATACTCATGAGATGTCTAAATGCTTGCAGATCACCAATAAGCAAAATGTACCGGAACGTAATGTGGATGTCACTGGCAGGATTCGTGTTGTGTGTGTGTGTGTGTGTGTGTGTGTGTGTGCGCGCGCGCAGGAGAGTCTTCACCCACTCCGGTGTGAATGGTTATTGGTCCTGACCCTATAATCACACCATTTGCTGCTTTTTCCTGAGTCAGTGTGTTCATGTTCTTATTTTTCCTGTTAGGATCTCGTAGATTCTAATCAGCTGCTCCTGATCTGTTCTAGGGCTGGAGACTAGATGGGGACAAGGTACAAAACAGGGTAAAAACATGTGGCTGCTGATGGGGGCCATAGGGCCCATCCTGTTTGCTGAGTGCATGACATTCAATGGATCTGTTCTCATTTGGGTCCATGAGAGGCTGTGTTGTAGGAAAGGAAGAGTTAGGCTGTGCATAGTTGTGCTTAGGTTCTTTCAGCACCTTCTTCACCCTCATTGATAACGCCCTCCTGGGGGGGGGGGGTCAGAGATGAGTGGCACAAACAGGAGGCCACAGGGGAGGGCAGAAGGAGTTGAGGCTGTGAGAGTCACGAGGATCCTAGCACTGCCTCTAACAAGCTGTCGAGCTGACCTCTCCTCTCTCTGAGCCTTGGTTTCCACACCTATCAAAAAAAAAAAAACAAAACAAAAAACAAAACAACAACAACAAAAAAAACAGACTCAGACCAGACCATGTCCTTATCATGTCCTTCTAACTCGGAGGCTCTCTGGGTTGATGAAGGTGGTTTGGTAACACTGAGCTGCTTGCTGGTCATTTGACCTCCTGAGGGGAACTGGCTCATTCGTGAGCAGAGAGCCTAGAGTTTATGAGACCCTACCCAAGCTTCAGGCTTGCCTTTCCAGTGCAGCTTGAACCCTCACCTAGGGGCCTTACCAACTCAAACTCAACATCCCTAGAACCAGAGCATCATGTCTCCCCTGCCAAATTGTCTTCATTCCTTCATCATTCAATTTCTTTCTTTCTCTCATTCATTCATTCATTCATTCATTCACAGCAATAAGAAGGGGAAGTGGGGAACACAGCCGAGGCCAGCCCAGGAGGGAGTCCAGAATATGGGTTCTGGAGTGGAGTCAGAGACAGGACAGGGAGCCAGCCAGGGTTCTAGGTGGAATGAAGGGTATGCCAAGAGGCTGCCAATACATGGCCTTCCGCAGGCAATTAGGGTGGTTGAGTTGAAGCTTGTGAGGAAGAGCACAGAGGCCGGACAGATCATGAGGTCCTGCCAGCCATGCTGAGGGGATGGTCTGGACTGTAACAAGGAGTTGCCAAATGGTTCCAAGCCAAAGGTGAATGTGGTCAGATTAGTTTGGGGAGAGAGAACTTTGGCAGCAGGTGAATGGTGGACAGACGGGGAGATGCGAGTCGGGAGACTGGACAGGAGACTGAGCAGTGAGTTGGGAGGAAAACAGAAATATGAACCAGGACAGTGGCAGTGCGGACAGAGTGGCTTGGAGTCAAGAGGGAAGCAGGCAGGACTTGAAAGCGGCTGAGCCGTGGGAGGCCAGGGTCAGAGGGGAATCTGGAGAGACTCCAGGATTTTGGTTTATAAGTGGCTGTGCTACCCACTGAGACGGAGAACCTGAGAGGAGAAGGGATCTTGGAGGGCTGAGGCCCTCCTGATTCTGTTAATGGCACCCACCTCTTCTGGTATCAAGGCCACATTATATCCTTTCCTGTCCTTTCCTCCACCCTTTTACACTTCCATGGGTTCCACCAGTTACTGTGACCTGACTTCTGAGCCATTCTGGCTCTCCACACAGACCTAGGGCTGGCCTGGGTCACACTGGGGGCTGTGGCTACCACGGTCTACTGAGGGCTCCAGGCCCTCCCACCTCCCTCCTACCCTTCAGGACTGGAGTACTGCTGAAGCCCCTTATACGTGGCTTACTAGTAACAATCTGGTTCCTGAATATATGATGGCAGAGCCCTGAGTTCTTTGCTCCTACCCCTGCCTGCTTTCAGAATTAGGATTGACATAGGTCTACACTGCCCCTAGGAACTTTTTCTGGATTGTCCCTTCCAGGCTAGCCTCTACAGCTTTCTCCATCAGTGCCCTGGCTGCCGTGGGCTGGCAGGTGTTTCACTGTGAGCATCAGTGTGAGCAGCATCCATGGGATGTGTCCTTGTGGGAGCAGTTTGGTAGCCCCTGCTCTTAAGCAACTGATCTTCATGTGAGGCCATGTTAGTGAGTCCCATGATAAGTTCACTGTAATTCTGACAGATATTAAGTTGAAAAAACCAAATTCTGCTACTTAGAACTTTCTTTGAACTCTCCACAAAACCTTCCCCAGCCACAAACAATAACTAATCATATTCCACAAAAAAAGAATTAGTTACCACTCATCAGACACCTTTTATAAGCTTGCCAGTTTTTTTTTTAGTATATTCTCTATAATCCTTACAACAACTTTGAAAGGAGGTAGTATTATACCTCCTTTACGAGGGAAGATAACCAAGAGAAGGTAACCAAGGCTCTTGGTTAGGTGGCTTGCATAAGGCCAAACAGCTGGCAAAGAAGCAGAGTTGAAATGTGAGCTCCTCCCAGAGCAATATGGACCCCGCTTTCAGGTCAATCATGTCCAGAGCCTCTTGCCATGAGTTCATGGTCCCCTGCAACCATGGATTCCCCTGTCCATGCAGCCAGATTTCAGCTTGGCCATTCATTCATTTATTCATTTGGCATTTACCAAACACCAGCCATGGGTGTAGCATGTGGCCCACAGGGGAGGGTAAGCCATGACGGAGGTAGCTACGGTTTAGTAGGTCAGGATCTGTTCATGTGTGGCCCCAAGTAGATAGGACAAAGGGACAGAGGGAGAAAGGATTCTGAAGGGCTTACTAAAGGATAGAGACAGAGAAGTGGACAAAGGGAATTCAGGCAGCCCTCTAAGTCTGGGGCAGGTTCAGAGAGCAGGTGAGCTGCTCAGAGTGTGGAGGGTGGTCATTAGCAGAAACAAAGAAACATAGGCCCTCAGGAGAAAATGATATACAGGGCTCAGGGAGGTGCAGACAGAGGTTAATAAGGTGTGGAGAAGCATAGAGCCTGGGACAGGACAGAGAAGGTGCTTCACTGGCAAGAGCGCAGGCTTTGGAGTGAGATAAACCCGGGCTCAATCCCAGATCTAACCCTTAGGCCAGGACCTCACCTGCTCTGACCTGCAGGGAGCTCATTTGGAAAGGATTGACACAAGCCCTACCTCACAGGGTTGATGAGACTGTATTGATTGAGGAGGACCTGCCCATTTGTGTCAGTACTACAAAGCCCATGGTGGATAACTGTAACAAATGTATTTAGTTTTCATTAGAGAGTCGTTTGTTCAAGAAAAATTATTGAATATCTTCTACATTCCAGGCCCAGAGCTGGCAATACAGCATGAACAGGCGGATGCAACGACAGGCTCCACTGACCTGGTAGTCAGGTGGGGATATAAACAACCACATAATCAAATGTCTGTCCCCATTGTTGCATTTCTGACCTCTGCAGTCAACCTGCCAATGTTAGGAGAGGGCAAAATTTGGGCAGCAGCTTCTAATGCCAGGTTTATTTCTGAATGCATTTCACATCAGACTTGAACAAAGTAGTATTCAGTGAATGCCTGATTGAATCTCCAATACTGAATGTCCGCCATGCACAGATGTTCGCTTCTTAAGCACTTGTCCCACTTACACACATTTTCTTGCAGTGATTCAAGGGGAGATACTGAAAGAGCAATTATAGTGGGGGGGTACTGAAGACAGGCAGGGAGCTGGGTGATTGATGAAGCCAGGTCCCAGGAAACGGAGGAGGGCAGGCGTCAGCAGAATGGTGAGAGGGTTTGGCCTTGGAAAGAAAGTGTTGCCAAAGAAGAGAATAGGGGCTGTCCTTTCATTTCTAACTTGAAAAAGCCTTGCATTTACCAGAAATGATGAAATAGAATTATACAAGGAATAATTCTACTGCTGGGAAGAACATCTACATGTGTTAATTGGTACAATTCACTTCTTGACAAAAGTAGAGACTCAGAATAATGGATTACTGCCAACTATGCTCAAATATAAATTTCATATCTCTGCCCATAAGGCCCAGATTTATTATGTATCTAAGTTCTTGGGAAATAAAATTCTTTCCCCATCCTCTTGACAACAAATTTTTTAGCAACAGTCTTCAACTGCTTTATGAAGGAAGAAAAACGTGCTTTTAAGTCCTAATGGTCTAAAATCTTCCTACAGATTCTCATAGGTAATTTACATTGTCATGGAAACATATCAAGTCTATGTTCAAAAATTGGCCTACACTTTTTATATTAAAATGTTTTTGCAGAAGGGAAGCAGTCTCTTTCATGAAATCTGATGGAGACAGTTCATGAACACTGTCAGTTGCCAAACT